GGTTCCTAGGATCAAAATTTAAGACACTGGGCCACGGACTCCACATTTATGATGCTCACCGTGTCGCCCTCGGGGAGTCACGCTGTCCTCTTTGGTGACCTCCTAATGAGCCAAAAGTCAGTAAGGAAGCCAGGTTCACTTAATGACCTGCCATTGCTAATTTAACAATGGCAGGGATTCACTTATCAAAAGGCGGCGAGAAAAGTTGTCAGACGGTACGAAACTCCCATCACGGACTTCTCTCCCTCAGCAACCGTAAATTCTGGTCTTGGCGGCAGTCCTTAAATTGAGGACCACCTGGAAATTGTGGTAAGTCAAGGACTCCTTCTATGGTAGAAGTCTAGACAAGGGGAGATACAGCCTGGCGGGCACCTTCTCCCTTCTTCCGTGGTGGACAGTCTGCCCAGAATCTGGCACCAAGCCTGCATTTCAGTCTTCGGTGCTCAATATAGCTGATGAGGTGGCGTCTCAGGGCCTCCTGTGCCAGTCCAGTATGTGCAGCCCCCCGAGAAGAACGCCATGTACCCAGGCGGTGGAGCTGAATCCGAGGCCAGCCAGCCACGTCTTCTCCTCTTCTACCCAGGGGGAATCGGTGGGAGGCAGCGAAGAGTGCCTGGCCGCTGCCCTAGATCGGCCTGGGGTGAACCCACCTCTTTCCTCCAGCCACGCGGGGCGGGACACAGCCTTCAGAGGTGGGTATTCAGCCGGTTCAGACCGGTTTTGGAGAACCGGTAGCGGAAATGTTGAGTAGTTCGGAGAACCGGCCAATCCCACCTCTGACTGGCTCCGCCCCCATCTATTTTCCGCCTCCCGAGTCCCAGCTGATTGGCTGGGTCTTCTTTGGTTGCCCTGCACAGGAGAACGGAGCTGGAAAGCAGGTTAGTGGGGTGGGGAGGGAAGGGGGATTTTGCAGAATATATCCTTCCCCTGCCACGCCTACCAAGCCACACCCACAGAATGCCACGCCCACCAAGCCACATCCACAGAATGCCATGCCCATCAAGCCACACCCACAGCTGATCGGCTGGGTCTCCTTTGGTTGCCCCTGCATAGGAAAACGGAGCTGGAAAGCAGGTTAGATGGGGTGGGGAGGGAATAGAGATTTTGCAGTATCCTTCCCCTGCCACGCCCACCAAGCCACACCCACAGAACACCACGCCCACCAAGCCACACCCACAGCTGATCGGCTGGGTCTTTGGTTGCCCTGCCCAGGAGAACGGAGCTGGAAAGCAGGTTAGATGGGGTGGGGAGGGAAGGGGGATTTTGCAGTATATCCTTCCCCTGCCACGCCCACCCAGGCACGCCCACCAAACCAAGCCACGCCCACCAAGCCACGCCCACAGAACCGGCAGTAAAAACGTTTGAATCCCACCACTGACAGCCTTACGTCGTGGCTGGCTGACGTGGACCAACACACGAAGACGATTGGCGGGGGCTGGAGGCTAAAACGAAGGAAGGGTTGCAGGACCTGGGTAGGTCTACTTCAGCGGTCCCCAAACTTGGCAACTTGAAAGACTTGTGGACTTCAACTCCCAGAATTCTCCACCCAGCTCTGCTGTCTTAAAAGTTCTCCGGCCAGCTATTAAGTCTTAAAGTTGCCACGTTTGGAGACCTCTGGTCTAATTGAACGAAAAGGAGGACTAAGGATGACGGGGTCGCGGTTGCAATATTTGAGGGGGCTGCCCCCCAAAAGAGAGGGGGTCGATGTATACTCCAAAGCACTCAAAGGAAGGACAAGAAGCAAGAGATGAAAACTCATTCGGTGGGGAAAAAAAACCAACTGGAATTGAGGAGGAATTGCTTAACTGTGAGAACAATTAGCCGGTGGAACAACTTGCCTCCAGAAGTTATAAATGCTCCATCACTGGAGGTTTTCGAGAAGAGATTGGACAACCTTTTGTCTGGAATGAATAACAGAATTGGAAGGGACCTTGTAGGTCATCTAGTCCAACCCCTTGCCCAAGCAGGAGACCTTACACCATTTCTAACAGATGCTAGTCTGGTCTCTTCTTGAAAGCCTCCAGGGATGAAGCTCCCACAACTTCTGTTCCAACAGTTCATTGTTCTGTCAGAAAGTTTCTCCTTATTTCCAGGTTGAATCTCTCCTTCTTCAGTTTCCATCCATTATTCCTTGTCTGGCCTTCAAAGGTGCTTTAGAAAATAGCTTGACCCCCTTCTTCCTCCTCTCTGGGGCAGCCCCTCAAACATTGGAAGACCTCTATCCTGTCCCCCCTGGTCCTTCTCTTCCCTAGACTAGCCAGGCCCAGTTCCTGCAACCGTTCATCGTATGTTTTAATCTCCAGTCCCCTCATCCTCTTGCTTGCTCTTCTCTGCACTCTGGTATAGGGTTATTTCCATATGAGCAGAAGGCTGGACTACAAGACCTCCAAAGTCCCATGATTCTGTTATACAGGACCTGCCTGGTTCATTGGAATGAGGCAAACCTGCTCAGTTGCACTCTGGCCCAGCCAGGTCCAGCAGATGGTACTTCATAGCACCTGAAGGATGTCACGCAGAGTGGCAGACCTCCTGCTCTGACCCACAGATAATATGGAGGCTGGATTTCAAGACCCCACTTCTCACCTTTGCACCCTGCCTGACAGACTCCCTACTCCCCCCACAACCGCAGAAGGAAAAACTTGAAGATGACCACCAAGGTAGGCAATCCTTGAGGTGGGGTCTTATCTCCCTTGCAGTGGGTTTCCAGCCAAGTCTTCACCCCTCTATTCTCTTCTGTACCATCGCATTAAAGACATGATTGCAACTTTTGTCTTCTGTGCAGCAACACACAACTCTAAGGCCTGGGAAAAGCACCGTCGTGAAGTATATATATGGGGAGAGTTGGACTGCGTTGCTCATATGTATTCGTAGGCATCCATCGAAGTATTTCAATTTCAGCAACTTGACAATGTGGGCATGTCAACTCCCAGAATTCCCCAACCAGCATGCGTTGAGATGGGTGGACTTCAACTCCCAGAATTCCCCAGCCAGCAGGCTTTGAAATGGGTGGACTTCAACTCCCAGAATTCCCCATCCAGCAGGTGTTGAGATGGGTGGATTTCAACTCCCAGAATTCCCTAGCTAGCAAGCTTTGAGATGGGTGGACTTCAAATCCCAGAATTCCCCAGCCAGCATGCTTTGAGATGGGTAGGCTTCAACCCCCAGAATTCCCCAGCCAGCAGGCTTTGAAATGGGTGGACTTCAACT